AAGCGCCTAAACATTGGCTCATCGCAAAGGCACCAACATAATGGCTCATAATCAGCAAAAAGCACCGACGTAGTGGTTCACAAGCAACAAAATGCAAACGTACTGGCACAACGGTAATTTCAGCAAATATCAAAGAAGCAAAGTTCAATCAAGCTTTAAGGATCGACAAGAATTGGTCTTCGGTAATTTTCTTCAGAATAATATCGCAACAACTGAGGATGACTTCAAGAGAATTTATCTTCGACGGCGTTCCCTAGCTGGAGGAGGGTTGTCACAGGAAACTGAGGATGACTTCAAGAGAGGTTATCTTCAACGGCGTTCCCTAGGATGTGGAAGGTTGTTAGAAAATAAGAGGTGAATTCAAGCAAAGTTATCTTCGATCATATTCCCTATGATGTGGAAGATGGTCATAAAACAATGGAGATTGGAGGCAACTCCAAGCGTGGTAGTCTTCAGGCGATATCCCCTAGCTTGAGGAAGATCGTCACAAAATCGGTTACTCCAGAGACTTGTGCTCGATGGTGCAAGATACGCGTTTCTTAACTCTTTTATCTGTTTTTACTAATGCTAGTTTGCAGGTATCGACGTTACAAGTTTGATTTAGGATTGCAGAACGTTCTGGATCATTCTCTGTCCCTATCATTACTTTGAATTTTGTTTTCGAAACTTGCGAATCTCTAAACTCAGCTAGTGGGGGCTTCTGTAGACACCCAAATGTGTCTCCCCAAAACCAAACCCATTGATGACTACCTTTCATGTCATTTGATTATCGAACGAAATGAAAGTCTGGAAAGTCTAGTGATGAGTATGTTTTTATTCAAATATTTCTCTTTTTGTTTTCAAAAATATTTCTTTTCTTACTCTATTTATGAAAGATAGCCAGTACAATTTAGTTTGGTTCATGATAAGGGTCCAATAATAGTGTAGTTGGATTGGGCTCGAAAAGAGATTTCCAATGATATATTATAAGCTCGATTCCGATATATTATGAGGAAGTTATGGATTCAATTAAATTAGGCCCAATGATTTTAAATGTGGCCCAATGATCTAGAGGAGGGCCTATTAATTATTATTCCTAAAGTGATTAGGATTGATTTTGATCTTCTAGGAATATCTAGAAGGTTCTCTTTAATTCTAATGAGATTAGGATTGATAATTATATTTTAAAAAGATGTTTTATTTTGGATAAAATACATTAAATCTAATTTTAAATCTACTTGGACGTAGAATTACTTGTAACCAGTCTAAAAGGTGATTCTGCATGTAAAAGCGTGTTGTACTTTTGAACCAGCGCGGGAAGACAGAGTCGTCGCTAGGCGCTGACTTTCGTCGCCTAGCGCTGCAGCTGTCGTCTGGCGACGAGCTCGTTGTCTGGCGCTGACTCTTGTCATTGGCAACATGAGGTATGTTATTCCGAATATGATTTTCTTTAATCTCGTGCTATTTTTCCTATAATTAGGGGTCGTATTTCCTTATTTTCAAACCACCTACCAACAATCATCAATCACCCAGAATTCTCTAATTCTATTCTTTCTCTCTTGAAAAGCTAGAAGCTTTCTCTCTCTCCATTCTTTTTCTAAAAATTCCCTCTCTCAAAATTCCTCACTCATTAGTTCTAGACACACCTAGCTAGGTTTGAAGTTGCCTTTGCCCTAGACGTGAAAGGTTTGAGAATTCTGAAGGTTTTGTCCCAAATCTCTATTTTGATTATTTAATTTAATTGTTTGATTTAATATTTTCCTTGAAGTTACTAACGTGTGTATTTTGTTATTATAAAGAGATACGAGGCATCGAAGTAAGTACTTTAATTGTTCTACTGATCTTTGGATATAGAAATCATTCTTAGATTATTTTATTGATTCCTAGTATCATGTTAGGATGTTTTATTGCTTCCTAGTATCATGTTTAGGGTAATAACTAAAATTTCTAATATCAAGTATGATTATTGTGATGCTTCCTATTTTCTTTCCTAATATCATGTTAGTATCATGTTAGGGCTAATTGATCTTTGATGTTCAGTGACATGCTAGAGTTTGTTATTAATCTTGTTAGTATCATGCATAGGATCTTGCTAATAATATTATGCTTTAACATGATTATTTTAATTATTATGGTTATGATTATTATTGTTGTGATGATTATTATGTTGCTTGATATTTATTATTATTGTTATTGCTTGATCAAACCTTTTATGCATGTTTAAAGGGAATTTGTACTTGTAATCATGCTTAATAAGATAATTAATAATCTTGTTTAGGTTAATATGATTATAATTCAAGTGATCACCAATAATAGTTTTATTTGTGCATTAATATTCAATTAATATAGATTAAAAAAGTTTAGGGTAAACCTATTGATTGCATGTTAGTCAGAAAGCGCACATGAATACGAGAAGAATAAAGTAGAGGCCTATTTTTAGGGCAAGTTCAATCTCTTTTATGTTGGATTTGTACTTTCATCCCCGAACTTCCAGTCATGGTTCCAGACCTATTAGAGTTAACGATCCCCTGGATCATTAAGGGGTGTAACCTTCACCCTATGAACGGTTTACAAGTTCCTAAAACTTGTTGGCGACTCTTTTACTCTAGCTTCCTTCCCTTTAGACGCCACCATGATTAAGTGTATGATCACAGTGGGGCTCAAGTGTGGGATGGATTGAAATATTCCCTACAAGGTCAAACTTAAAGTTTGACCCATCCTTCAGACCCTTGAAGAAGTTTGTGTGCTATACCTCGTCAAACGGCCCTTGAATCTGGATTCTTAGCAAACTGAACCGTCTGACATAGGAGCGCAGTCCTTCTCTCTTTCCCTGCCTTATGGTGCTCAAGTCAAGACTTGTTTTCTTGGCAGGAACGTTCATCGAGAAGTTAGAGGCAAACAGGAAGGCGAGCCTCCTAAAGCTGAATGCACCCGGCTGGCAGGTTGCCAAACCATTGTTGGGCTATGACCTTCAAGGTAGCTGGGAAAAATCGACACCACATAGCATCCTCCAACCCATGCATGTGCATAAGGTTGGAGTAGGCCACGAGGTGGTCCTCAAGGTTGGAGATACCATCGTAGGCACCAACCAACACATTCTTAACCTTGGCCGGCTTTACCGCCTATTTTATCTCCTTGGTGAACGCAGAAGTCTGTTCACCAAGTTTGAGCAGACAGAGCTGCCAGTCCAAAGGTTGGACGTTATATGCCACCTACAAAATTGGCCAAAGAGACCCGTCCAAATAAGCCAAAGAGACTGCCTTAGAGGCGGTCTCTAGCGCACCGGTCTCTTTGGTAAAGAGACCTCTTTATAATAGGTGGTCTCTAGAATATGAAAGCTAAGACCACCTCTCAAATATAAGAGGTCTCAAATTCCTAGAAATTGAGACTACCTTTGTAAGAAAAGCAGTCTCAATTTTCAGAAAACTGAGACCGCATATCTTAAATAAGCAGTCTCTTTTTTTAGAAAAATGAGACTTCTATTTAACATAACAGGTCTCTCTTTGGTCTCATTTTAAATAAAAAAAAGGGTTTTTTTTTTATAATTACAATTCATCAATATTAACATTGATAATAACTTATTTACTTTTATTTATTTTTTATGTTATTAAATAAGAAGTAAAAAAATAGTTATTTTATTTCATACGTACACCTCAAAAATTACGTACAGTAATTAGTACAAATATCAATGAAAATTTAATACATAAATAAAAATAAAAATTCAAGAAATGATGCTATGAACTACCCAGATCTAAATAAATTTTTTTAAAATGATGACAATAAACTACCCAAATCTTCAATCACACATCTTCCGTTCAAGTTGAAACTTGAGCGATTATTTTGGAAACGAGGACTATAAACTACCCAGATCTTCAATTACAGATCTTCTTCAGTTCCTTACCTACAACCACAGATATAGGCATGTAAAAAAAATTATAAAAAGCAAATTTTATTATCCAAAAAATAAATCATAACAATGAACAGATTGAAAAAGAAAAGAAAAAAAAAACATTTTAAAAACGAGATATAAAATAAATTGTTTTTCAATAAAAAAATGAGAAATTGTTCAATTTAACAAGTAAAATATGAGAAATTGTTCAACTTATAAAAAATACCAGAACTTAAATCTAAAGCGCTGAAATCAAAATTGAAAATGGAAACAAAAATAGAAAAACAAATGCGAAAGTAATAAAGACGAAAATTACTAGATTTTCCTTCATATGAAAGAAGTAAGCAATAATAACTAAAAATACTAGATCTGACTATGAAAGGTGTTTTTAAACAAAAATATCATAATAGAATGGCGAAAATAGTTTCTGAAACGGAAACATTAACAATCAAACAAGTAATCTTTATCATGGCTAAACTAAAAATCCGACAACTTATTGTTTTTAACAATAAAAAAGGAATTTAAAAACATTAATATAAGAAATTCAGATTTTTCATCAAGAAAAACCGAAAAAAAAATTAAAGATCTAACACTTAATAATGAAAATTAATACAAAACTCACCTTGGCAATACATCTTGAAATCACTACTACAAAAAGCGTGTTTTCGTGACGCTTTTTAGGCCTTTTTTCGACGCAGAAAAGCGTCGAAAAATTATTTCTCGACGCTGTAAAAAAGCGTCGAAAATCCTTGAGTCGAAAATTTTTCAAGGACAACGTTTTTCGCGCATTATCCCAAATGTGTAGTTTTTTTAGCGACGCTTTTTCCTGTCCACATAATCAAATTTAGCGACGCTTTTTGTTGTCTTGCGTTTATTCGTGTCAGCCTATGGTATGGCGGGAAACTCTTTGAAATTTGAAAATGTGCAAATATGTAGACATTAAAAAGCGTCTAGAATTTTTTTTTTTAAGCTTTTTTTTTCCTTTTATTAAATTATTATCATCATACATACATTATAATTATTTAAATTTATCATAAATTAAATTAATTAATAACATTAAAATAAAAATAAACAAAAATTCAATATAACTAGATTAAAAAAAAACAATAATTAATCAACAATAAAAAGAGTACGTAGTTAATTACCAAATTTAGAAAAGAAAACATCAACACAGTACAATCATTAAAAAAATGGTCACATATTATAGTATGTAGCTTGTCCCTAAATAAATACATCACTAATATATATAAGACTAAAAACCAAAATAGATAGATGATGGCCACATTGATTGATATAGTCGCTTGTTGATGCTCAAGTGTCCCGGCCTATTCTTTTGTTGCACCTACATTGCCTTTTCCAATCTTCAAAAAAAAAAAATACAAAGTATAAATTAGTCTAAATCATGCTAAAAATTACAAACAACAAATTAAAACAATAACCAGAATTTGCAGCCATTCTAGCAGGTTAAAAGTAATCTATTATCAATTGAACACCTTATTAATTCCATTACTCATCACCAAAGTTTGACTATTAGAAATGTTGTCTATTAGAAAATTCTGATGAGGCCTAACTATGTACCAAATATAATAAATGCGAACTAGTGATCCTTTTTTTTAAGCAAATAGGAACTATAATATATTAATTACTTGAGAGAGTTACTGATGGCAATTGCCATCAGGACAAAAGAGCATGAACTTAGAGTACATATTAGTGTGCACAGACCTAGCTGAGCACGTCATATAGTTACAGAAACTAGAAGTAAGATAAAGCATAATAAGCCTAGAAGAGCAATACTTAAGCCTTCTAAAACAACCAAAAGCAGCTGCTGGACTTTTCATGAACACATCTGTGGCAATAATTCAGCAACTGGTGATTAACAAAAGTACTTGCTGGGTGAAAACTAATCCTAAGCAACCAAATCTGGAATTTCTGCAGCATATGAGTCGTAGGTGTTTGTAGGAGGATAAGAAAAAGGAACCACTTCTCCTATTTTCATCTTTGTTCTTCCCATCATAGCTAAATTGTCAGCCACAGATCATTAATCAACTAACACTCCCATTATGAAACACCCTTCCCCCTTTAAATCACTGAATAATTAGCCATAACAACAGATTTCTATCAAAAAGACAAAATCTGATGACACACACACACACAAGCTCTGAAATATAATCACACACACACAAGTTTTGATGTTCAGAGCTGCAATTCAGAACAGCAATACTAGAATACAAGCTCTGAAATATAATCACACACATCTTTGCCAAGAACTAATAAGTCTATAGTTGATAATTGGCTGGCAAAAGCACAGCAAGCAGGGGAGCAAGCAGGGGAGTATCACAGACACACAAGTTCTAGTATTGCTGCTAAAATATAATCACACACACACAAGTTTTGATGTTCAGAGCTGCAATTCAGAACAGCAATACCAGAATACAAGCTCTGAAATATAATCACACACATCTTTGCCAAGAACTAATAAGTCTATAGTTGATAACACACACACACACACACACAAGCTCTTACTTTCACACACATAAAGAGAAATGTGACTTTGTTACCTGATGTTTTGCCTTTCCTAAGAATTCAGATGCTTTGTCTAGAAGACCCGGAGATGCATTCCCTTGACGAACTGCACCTACAATCTGAGAAAATTGTCCAACAAGCGCTTTAAGAAGAAGATTGTTGTGTCCGACCTCGTCTTTCAGCTTTTCATTTTCTTGAGATAGTGTATCATTTTTCTTGTGCAAAGCATTCACTTCTTCTTTAACACTATCCATCACAATAGTCCTCTTTTGAACTTTTCCATAGCCTTCCTTCCTTAACACACCACGTACTCCGAATATGTCCCCCTTTTTAACCCCTAGTTCGTAACCCACCGGACGATCGGGAATCTCATTGCCATACATAGTTTGCTGAAATGCTTCATCTTCGAGCTCTTGTTCAGACATCTTAGGGTGCACCATCCTCAACTCTTCAACCTTAGCTTTAACATCATCCTATACCAACATTTAGGAGTAATGTAACACCACAAATAACACATAATCACACCACAAAATCTACACAAAATGATACCAGAAATCTGTCACAAAACCATACCACAAAATCTTGAGTGACTGTTCAGGAAGAAATTTTTCGTCTTTACCCGCATGGGTTTTAATCCACAGCGCTAACAAGCTCATTTTTTCTCCATGTTCATCCTCCTATAAATAATAAGGCAAAACAAGCATTAAATATGTGTACAATAGTATATAACGCATATAACTTGGCTTTGTTCTTACTAATATCCTAAGTAAATATAAAATGACATATATATTCATACATAATCAGCTTGTTGGTTTGCAAAACTTTTAGAGCCAGATGTATGAATCTGATTTTGACAAGCTCGTGCCTTTTTACCGCATGCTGACATAGTCTGCAATCACATTTTCAAATTTTTTTGTTAGAGATTAAATAACGTTTGATAGAGTAAAAAATAAGGTAAATATTGTCCTTACTTTCCCATAATCCGAATCCCAATATTTTACCAACTTAACCCAGTTACTACTGGTAATTCCATGTGGCACATTATTACACATATCATCCAATTTCTTCTCTAGTGGCTTGTAATGAACCATTTTCAGAGAATATTTGAACTGCCTCCAACATTTATTGGCACGCTTGAGAGCTTGGTTGTCATATTCCACACCAGGAGGAATCACAAAACGGTCCTTCAGTAAAAATAATTAGTTAAAAATGTAAATCAGCAAGTAATCTATTAGAAGTAAGAGACCGTCTAAGTATGTGTCTTAGGGATGAATATACTTACTCTTATGTCTTTAATTATATTTTCCCTTTAAAATGCTTGTCGATTGCTTTCCAATCTTTTTCCCCAACTGGACAATGTGACTCCATCTTCGCAATCATACTAATGAATTTAACCAAAATATGTCCACCCTTCCTAATTGGCTGGCATAAATCATTGAATTCGACATAGTACTGGACGCCGTTATTACTCCATACGTCAATTGGCAGAATAATACCACTTACTAATGTAGTATTACCCTTGGCATCTAAATAAAATAACAAAATTAAGTTAAAAGAAATAATCAGTTAAGTGAACAATATGTTCTAACAGAGAAGCAGATAAAATTTTGCAAATACACACACACAAGCTGCAATTCATTTCTGATGTTCAGACCTGAATTCAAAACTGAATTCCAAAACTGAATTCAGATTTGAATTTCATTTCTGATTTCAGGTCTAGAATTCAGTTCTGATATTCTAGAACTGAAATCAAAACTGAATGCCAGAACTGAATTCAGATTTGAATTTCAGTTCTGATTTCAGTTCTAGAATTCATTTCTGATGTTCAGAGTTGAAATCAAAACTGAAATCCATAACTGATTTCAGATTTGAATTTTAGTTCTGATTTCCAGTTATAGAATTCATTTGTACTTAATCAAAAAAGAAAGCACAGAACACATATCATAGAGACCGTACTCAATTCAAATGTCAATTAGCATGTACCTCGACATAACAAGCATAATTTACTTGAAAAATTAATTATGCAGCTCAATACAAGTTTCAAGATATAAACAATTCCATATATCCAAATTTAGAACAAGTTTGACAGTGATATTTAAAATACATATGCATGTGTAACACGTGTAACACAAGCTTGAAAAAGAGATATAAGATTATTACTCCATTGTTCCAATATAAGGCATCAATTATACACAAATTAAAATTAGTACAGGCAAGCAACCAAGTATAAGTCATTAAGTCCAGGTATCATCAAGCCACACACACTGAGATGAGAGAGCAGCAATTTTTTTACCAACTTTTGTCTGCTAGTGATTTTGGCTGTTATGTAAATACAAAAAGGGGTAATGAGGGATGGACTGACTAGCTTGTGGATTGTAGTAGAAATCGTTGAGCACTGTGACCTAAAGTCACCACTAGAAAGTAGTGGCCTCAAGCCACCCCCCCTGTAAACAAAGTGTTTAGGGCCAGATTAAACAGCACAAACATCAGCATGACAACTATGGCAGAAAACATTTACCTATGGTTAGAACCTCCTCCTTGTCGTCAAAATCAATGTCTTTAGGCCAATCCGGAAGTGCTTTTGGTCGTAAGGACTTAGATTGTTTCGGGATCTCTTCTGATTCGTTTCCATTTTTTTGTCTTTCATGATTATCCTGTGCAGCTGTAGCTGAAGTTTTCACAGCACCTGTTTCACGGTTCCGGATTCCTCGTGTAGCAGGTTTTGGGCGCTCGGGAGGTTTGTGAGAAGTAGAAGGGGAGTTCAATGAGTCTGGTGCAATTGAATGTGGAATATTAGGTGGGACTTTTGCTGGGAATTTATTCTGAACACCTGATGTAGCTGCCTCTTTGACTGAACTCGATGTTGAACCAGGAGGATTTTTCCAAATGGATCCTAAACTATTAGGTGGTTGTTGGTCAGATGTTGTAGTGGTAATAGGTGGAGAAAAAGGTCCCCATTTGTCATCCTTAAGTACCTCATTCTGTGGTGACTTAGTAGCATGTTTTTTGGTAGGTTGTAAAACAACTTCAGTAGCATTTGACTTAGCTGTGGCAGCAAGTATTTCCCTTGCTCTCTTGCTTCGATAAGTCATCTTTACCTGATAAAACCATAAGACAAGCTACATTAGTTTGTCAATATCACAATAAACTATATAGTTCTGAACTATAATCACAATATCACAATTACAGTGAGTTCATTACAAACAGCAACAACACTTAGTTCAATTACATTTCTGAACTGATGTAATCACAATATCAGTGGAAAGTAAAGACACTATATATAGACAAAACTGATATAAAGACAAGACAATATATGTATAGCTAAACTAAACATCTAAACTGATATACAAAATAAGAACAACAATAATCAATGCATCAGAGTTGAAATTCCAAAGATGAATTCCAGAACTGATTATTCCAGAAATGAATCATACCAGAAATTCAGTTCTGGATTCAGTTTGGAATTCAGTTTTAGAATTCAGTTGTTATTTGACCAATAAGAAACCGAGACAATAATACTACTTAGTACCATTAAAACAGAAATTAAGTTAACAAAATGCAAAATTTGATGAATTAGAATAACTAAATGAAATATAAAAATACACACCCATCCAAATTTATGAACTCAAATCTATAATAAATTATAAAAGTTGTAAACAAATTATTCAGGTATATCAAACAAGTCCCTAGGCTTAGTTTTCACAACATGACACCACCCTTTTTGTATCTCATCCTCAATATAAAAAACTTGTTTTGCTTGAGATGAGAAAACAAATGGATCATCACGCAAAAATCGCCCTGTGTGCATCAACTTTGAGATTTTGATACGAACACTTCCATTCGGATTTGTTTTGATACCCCTACGGATATCGACCCAATCACAACGAAACAATACAACCTTATAAGAACCATAATAATCTAATTCCAAAATTTCTTTGAGTTTTCCATAATATTCGTGACCCTCTGCTTCCACCATGATTTCTGAATTCTGAGTTATTCGAAATCGCTCGCGATCCACAATATCAAATTTGTAACCATTGATAATAACACTTTTCATCCTTTTCCCGCGGTTACTCAAGCCACCGGCTAAGGCTTTTCTTAACTTTCCTTCTACCGTGCTATCATCTAAATTATGGACCTATAATTCAAGAATAATAAAGTTAGAATTAGAAAGTTATATAATATAAAAATAAAAAGACCCTAAATGTAAAAGCATATGACCTGGCTTTGCAACCAATCTGCAAATTCATCAATTATCCACTGATTTTCAATAGATTCATCAGCTTGACTACCTCCAACGTCATTCTCTTGCCTCTTTAATTTTAAGAACTCACTATCGAGATTGTAAATTTTATGTTAGTAACAAGTATATATTGGACGCTTTAACTAAACTCAGAAAGCTACTTACTTGAGCACCGGGGTTAGTTCATCGGAATGAAGTAAAACATAGCGATGAGCTTGCTTTAAACTTCTATCATCCAACCGGACATTTTCTTTCTTTCCAACAACACGACCACCAGAGTTATACAAATAGTTGTCAATGTTTGATACACCATCCTCATTCCTTCTAGGTCTATTGAACATAGTCTCAACACTTTCTAAATATCTCGAACAAAATGCAATTGTCTCCCACAAAAGGTAACCTTCCGCTATAGATCCTTCCGGTTGCGCTTTATTGTTTACATGAGATTTCAAAAAGGCCAAGTACCTTGAATTATAGTAACGATTTTGTATGTGAATGTGAAAGAATAAGGAAAATTATTATTTAAAAATTGAATAATACAAATAAATAGAATATTAATAAAAATAATAATAATAATAATAATAATAATTATTATTATTATAATTATAATTATAATAGTAATAAGTACCTTTCAACAGGATACATCCATCTATCATGAACCGGTCCGCCTAGTCTGACCTCTTCCACTAAATGAATTAGTAGATGAACCATGATTGTAAAAAATGTTGGTAAAAATTCTTTTTCAAACTTGCAAAGAGTCAACACGAGCTTTGATTGAATGGTATCTAATTCTCTTGTATCTATAGCAGTTGAACATATCTTTTTAAAAAAGTCAGACAACTCTTCAAGCAAGTCAATAACTCTTGTGGCATTCGATGCCCTTAAAGCAACCGGGAGGATATCTTGCATGAGAATATGATGGTCGTGACTTTTCATATTAATAAGTTTCCGTTGCTTTAGATTCACACATCTTTGCAAATTAGATCCATATCCATCAGGAACTTTCATCTTTTTCAAGACTTTCAAAAATCGTTCTTTCTCCTCGTTAGACATGGTGTATGCAGCCGGCGGGATGTAACCTTGAGGTCGATCCATAGATGAGGTTTTATATTCAAGTTCTTTAGGGCTTCTGTGCCACTCTCATCATCCCTACTATTATCCATATCTAAAAGAGTTCCTAATAAAATATCGGACACATTCTTTTCAATGTGCATAACATCTAAATTATGTCTAAGAGGATTATGCTCCCAATACTCTAATTCAAAAAATGTACTTTCCTTTTTCCAAAGAATATGATCACTATCGGGATCGCAATCATCGTCAAGTTCATTGGCAGCTTTTTTCCCTCTTTTTGTAGGAACTTTTTTTGTCTTCCCATATACATACTTTACCCCTTCTTGTTGCTTCAAAACTTCGGTCCCGCTGGTACGAATCGGAGCAATACCATATTCTTCTTTCCCATCAAACAAATTAGCTTGTGAACAATATGGGTGATCAATAGGCAACCATTTTCGATACCCAGGGTAGATAATTTTGCTACCAAATCTATCTGAATTAGTAGAATGAGTGCAAGAAGGACAAGCTTTGTTGCCTTTCATACTCCAACCTGACAGCATAGCATAAGCAAGAAAGTCATTAATAGTAGAGTGTAGGGCTGCTCGCAGTTTGAAGTTTCTTCCACTATAAGAATCAAAAGCATCAACACCTTCCCACAATAATTTCAATTCATGGATTAGTGGTTGCAAGTACACATCAATATCCATACCAGGACCAAATTTACCAGGAATAATTATAGAAAGAATAAAGGATGATGGTTTCATGCAAATCCATGGTGGTAAATTATAAGGAATGAGGACCACCGGCCATGTACTATAATTTGTGTTCCATAAGACGATATGGATTAAAACCATCACTCGCTAGGCCTAATCTAACACTGCGAGGATCAGCGGCAAACTCTGTATATTTTTCATCAAATTTATTCCAGGCCTCGCCATCAGCAGGGTGTCGTAGAATCTTATCATCCTTATGATTAAAGTGCCATCTCATGTCCTCTGTGTTTTAGATGACATGTAAAGCCTCTTTAATCTAGGGATAAGGGGAAAGTACCGCATTACTTTAGCTGCCTCGCCTTTCTTACATGCTTCTTTTCCTTTTTCATTTACATCACCCTCCTTTCCCTTCACATTTTTCCACCTTGATGTATGGCATATATGACACTCACTTTTATTTGCGAATTCACCCCAATATAACATGTAGTCATTTGGACATGCATGGATTTTCTCATATCCTAACCCTAAATCATTTATTATCTTCATGCCTTCATAATAGGACGATGGAAACTCCTTAATAATGGGAAATGCGTCAATTAAAAGTTCAAGTAGTTTATTAAATGACTCTGCAGACCAATGGAACATACACTTTAGGTGAAACAAATGCAATAGAAATGAAAGTTTCGAAAAAGTAGTACACCCCTCGTAGAGGCCTTTTTCAGAAGCTTCCATGAGATTTTTATACTTTGCCTGTTCTTCATTTGAGAAAGTTGATTGATACTCATCATCTACCTCGCGATAAATCGTAAACCCCTCATCCATGTCATATGAATTGTCATCTTCAATACTTTGTTCATCAAATGATGGATCTTGAGTTTTGTCGGTTTGTCGCGTATTAACTCTAAAAGTTGCACTTAGTAACCCGTCCATATCATCTCGGCCAACTGCATTTACTTGATCATCACTTAGATCATAGGTCTTACTCCCTTCATCTTTACAATGAAATATCCAATTTCTATAGTTTTTATAAAAACCATAAAATAAAATATGGCCTCCAACTTCTTCTATAGAATTCGTTTTATTTAACTTGCACTTATTACATAGGCATTTAGTTTCATGTGTATTTGGTAAAAGAGTCTCTTTAGCAAGTTCCAAGAAGTTCATGCAACCTTTAAAATAACCGGGATCACCTCTTGGTAAATCAATCCAACTAGTATCCATGTCTACAAAGAAGTATATAATTAATTGCTAATTAAAAACAATGACATAAAAAAAAATTAAAAAAAAAATCATGTTACAAGGATCCTTAAACCAATATATAATAGGGACATCACTTTCACTAAGTAAATAGACATCCATCAAAGTTATAATATCAAGAAGTTTATCCACTTAAAAATAATGTAAGTAATTCAAGCCTACAAACTTGTTGAGGGGTGAAAGAAGAAAATTAGTAAGAAACATACAACAACAAAAATAAGTCATGCAATTTCGATGAATTTCTTATTCAACAAACCACACTGGAAATCTACAAAACATGACTACAAGGAAATAGGCACACGTTTTTCAAGTAATTATAAGATAGTGTCACATGAAACATCCAATTAGGGAAATCTAATAAAGCCTACACAATTGAAATAAGTATATGACATACACGTACTAATCAAGCCACAATCTTTAAAAATGTATTCTAGTTTGAGCTAATGTCTAAGGTAGAGTGTACCTTCTTTTGCCGCAAAAGTAATTGTGCGTTTTAAGCTACTGAACAAGGCTGAAAACAGAAAAGGTAGTGTTAGTAAGCTTTAACATAAGATTTTGCTTGGGTGGATAAAAAGAAACAACAAGATTTGTCCAATCTGTAATTCTAGTAGTCTGGTGAGCATTTGAACAATTGAATAAAGAATCAAAACTATGACCAATATGGAAAACTAAAACAACAAGATCAGAAGGTCTAAGACAAATGGGTACATGTAGATTAAGATTGGAGGGATAAACTTTACAATCACAAAAAAATGCTGCAATCTAGAGATGATAACAATTTTTTTTTTTTTTTTGGGTGAGCAGACTATATACAGAGAATTCACAAATTGGCTTCGATCTTCTTTAGCTATGCCATGAATTTTCACACCTTGAGCTCTTTTAAGTGTCGAGATGAAGTGGACTTGCTAACCTGATCTAATTTTTTGGGTGAAAAAATTATGCTGCCAATATTCCCAAGTTCATATTGTTCTATTAATGCACTGCAACTTTAATGTGTAATGGCTAATTTATTTAGCTCTGACCAGAAAAATCAAAGCCTATAAATTTCATATCAAAAACCATAAAGTTCAAAGCCTATAAAATTCATATCAAAAACCCATAAAATTCCAAACTAAAACCCTAAAAAACGACATAAAAATCATAACAAAAACCAAAAAAACTACTTACAAAAAAAAAAAAAAAAAAAAAAACATGGAAACCATGGATATGCAATCAGAAATCACGAAAAAAAACAACATAAAAAGAAATTAAATTATCTAATTAAGGGCAAAAAATTACCTCGCAATAAGAGATCGATTCTTGTTCTACCCCAACTCAAAATCGAAGACATGCAAAGAAGAATTCCTAATATTAACGAAATTTAGAGAATTGTGAGATATTAGGGTACCAAAAATTATAGATATATACCTAGCAACAATATTGTATAGCAAATTGTAAGTTGATACCTGAAATTATTGACAGTGACGAGCAAAAAAACCCCAAATTCCTTGAAGATTAGCAAACAAAATTGCGAAATTTGTCGCTGATGATGAAGGAGTCGTGGGTTGTTTAGAGGAGATGAGAGCGCAATTGAGCAGAATAAAGAGTGGTGGGCGGTTTAATTGGGAAATTTGGGAACCCGCTAATATTTTCTTGAATTAAAGTTTCAAAATTGCGAATAAATTACCTCACGTGCATAGCATGTGAGTTTCTCGACGCTTTTATGTGTCGATAAAATTTTCGACTGTAAAAAGCGTCGAGAAAAGGCGGTACCAAAATCCGTACACTGACGCCATATCAAAGGTGTCGCAGCAAAAGCGTCCAAAAAGTACGCTTTTTGTAGTAGTGAATTTTGAAATGACAGAGTAAGATAACTTCTTGAGATTGATAACGAAGTAAAGGATAAAAGTAAATTTTATTTTATTTTGTGCGAGATTAACTTAGAATCTAGAAAAAATGAGCAAGAGCAAGATCGAGATGATGAGAGGAGGGAGAAGAGAGAGAAAAGAAGATGAAATGAGTTGAAATTCTGAGAGTGAAGAGCGGTGGAGGAGAAGAGAGATAAAATGAAACGGTTTAGGGTTTCAGATTTAATGGTCTTATGGCTGCCTATATATGTGGGAGAATTAATTCGAGAGACCTGTTATTTAAAATAACGGATCTCTCTAGTTTCTCACATTTTAAAAAAGCAACATTCAAGAATCAAGAGACCGGTTATTTTAATTGACCGGTTTTTTGGATATTACCCGAGACCTGTCATCTAAAATGACGGGCCTCTCTATATTCCTCGATTTTTTAAAAAAACTCCCAAGAGACCTATTTTCTTAAATGACCGATCTCTTTGATATTTCGAGAGACCTGTCATTTAAGATAATCGATCTCTCCTCTATAAAAGACCAGTTATGCACTTAACCGGTCTCTTATTTTGGGTCTCTTTGGCCATTTTTGTAGTAATGTATCCCCCAAAGAGGGTCGGCTGCATGAAACGAGGGGTGTACTTCCCATATTGCATCTGAGGCACATACAGGGCATTCTCAATCACCTATGGTCTAGTATGGACGGACTAGCCGCCTGAATGGCTCTCATGCAATGACTTGGAATTTCTTAGGGGTGTAACCTTGAAGCTGTCTGGAAAGCTCGATGTAGAGGCTGACTCAGACAAATGCTGACTCCGGCTGTGCTCGATGATGTGTCGAGCATCGAAGTAGGTTTTCTTGCTGCCATCTGGCTGAACAGCTCGGACGACCTTCCATTATCCCGTCTAGGGCAGAAGGATCTTAGTCCAATCAATGGCAAGCATAGTCTTTTCCTATGGATGTGGAGTAGGCTGCCTGTCTCTGACTGACTTCCTCCTCTCAGCTTGAGGAAGCTTCTTGCCCGACTAACCCTTGTTAGAGCCAACCACTCTCTTGTTAATCAGGTCATTCATTTCACCTTTGAAACTTGTCATGAATTTCATAAGTTCGTCTCAGGTTACTAGAGCTTAACCTCCTACCGCCTTGGTATTACCAGGCGGTGGTCCAGCAGACTTGGTGGGATCAGCTTCATTTTTTACTCATTTAAGCTTGTCTCTAGAAAAGGATGTGTTTAGCAATGAGTGACCCATCAATGGTCACATATGTTTCGGCGTCCACATCGTGGTCGTCTTCATGGTCTGTAAAGACCTCCCCATCAACCGCAGGACGGTTGGGGTCTGGCGGGGGTACAGACTCTTGAACCATCTTTGAGGTACTCTCCCCACAGACGACACCAAATGTTTTGGGTGTTTTTGTCCCTCGGGAGAGTTACGGCTCAAAGACTGGTCCACGCGGTCTATACCTGCAAAACACTGACATTCCAGTGTGTTGGAGCTTTGCCTCCAACAATCAAGTTAGAACGCGTTAGTGAAAGTAAAAAGTGCGAAAAGGTAAAAGTAAGATCTTCTCAGATTCCGAGATCAGGTGTTTTTTCCGATGTGAGATAATGTAGAATATGCAGTAATAATTTGTAGATGTCCCCAAACTGGGGGGGATCACCCAATTTATAGGGTCATTTGTAAATGTGCCCCTGATTAGGTCACTCTGACCTAATTCTGATGGGCTATGGCGCCGAATTATGGCTTTCTTAAGATTTGGGCCCTGAAGGCCGTCTTTTTTCCCAAATTCTAGGATTGGCACGTGTCAAATGGAGAATGATCTAATTTGGACTAATCTGGGTCTAACACGTGTCACTACCTGGTTGGCCCACGTGGCTTGGGTAAAAAATACTCATAACAATGAGGGTTATATTTAATTATTAGTAGAAGAGAGAAATTTTAAAACACTTGTCTAATAGGGTTAATATATATAGGAGTGAAAGATAATTTATATACTTGTATAAAAAATAGCTCAATAATGAGTTTAAAATTACATGGTTGATTCAAACTAAGATCTAATCAAAACTGAAGTAATTTAAGCTGAAACCTAACTGAATCTGAAATTACCTGATCCAAAGTCTATTAAATCTATTTTGACCCATATAAACCCAATTAAATCCGACTTCGAGCTCACCTAAACTCGATATGACTCAACCCAAATTTAACTTGGCCCAAATTCGACTTGTACCTGACTATACTTGGACCAACCTTTAACTCGAATATAATAAAGCTTGACCCGACTTGATTTAATTTGTTAGGATAAAATGACCCGTCATTACCCGATCTAAACACCCCAAACCATTGTGGGTAAACCCAAACTCTATATGTGTACTCGATATGACACCTTTAGCTGTAATTAAAATAAAAATGATGCAAATAATATTTAAGTAACCGATCAAATATTCAATTTGCTAAAAATGACAATAAATAAACTTGAATTTTGCCAATTCTATTAAATGAGCTTTCTAAATTTTATATTGACTTCCTAAAAGAAAGGAGCAAAATTTTCATTATAAGTACATGCTATTTTTACATTCTTCTCTATCTTATCCCTTGCATGTTATTTGACGATCTTTTTTCTATGAATCTTTACCATAACATGATCAGCAGTTTATTCTTTTCTAGTTACTATTAAATGTTTCTTAATTTGTTGTAAAAAATGTCTTGGCTAAGATCTACAGTGTATAAGGCAATGGAGGTGAGGAAAAAAAATAAAGCCAAAGTATCACGCATTCGTTCTATTGTTGACATAGTCCTATTTCATGTTGGACATATTGTTGCTAGTGATTCTAACTTTCTCCAGCATAAAAATGTAATTTCACTTTTTTCTTTTTGATCTCTTTATTTTTAAATTATTCTTTTATTTGTTTGTCTTCTCTGTTATCAATAATATTCATTTTATGAAATAAAATTATGACTAATCTTGTGCGAATTTATGTAAGATTGTGCAACAATATCTGAATATCATGAATTTTGTGTGAAATCATGCACGTAATTTATTAATAGTTTATTACAAACTAGCTAACCATTTGCATCCATTTCTTTTCTTATATATGAATATTTAAATATGGGAGAGTTTAAGTCCTTTTTT